CCCATCAGATGGAAACATCAAAATAAATTTCGTTTGAAAGATATTTATGAGATCAATATTAGACCCTTAAAAAGGTCAGGCTTTAATGCAATTGCTTACGAGAGGGAGATAAATCCTCTCTCCCACTTGTAAGTTTGGTTACCCCTTGTCTATAAAGAATTCAATTGTTGTATTATTTTTTTTATGAATTTTACGATAAAAAGTATCAGATCCAAATCAAGTTCTTGCTCCTACCAGTTGGTTTAATGATGCATATATCAATGGTACAATCAACAAGTGCACCATTCTTATCATTGCAACATTATATCCTCACCAACGTATTAAATAACAAATGGAGACGATCAATGGTGCAACCAAAAGATCAACCAAGGAGGAACCTAAAGGCTCAAAGCATCAGCTTTTGAGGTGGGAAGAGTACAACCCAATTCTTCCACTCTCTCGGTGCAACAAGAAAAATATTATCACACTTCGTCCTTCACGCCATCTAGTTTTGGAGGTTTGCAGCTCCACTCATCTTCCTTTAATGGGTGCTCATCCACAGTACTCTCACCTGCGGCCACCGAGCCATTCTCTCAGGTCTATAAATAGTGGATATGGTTAGCTTCTCCTCATCATCTGACCTAATCACAGTGATCGCACACAGCATGAAGCCGATACTGCTGCTCTTTCTCGTCTCCGCGCTCCTCTTATCCGCTGCGGTGCCGACGGCGTCGGTAACCTGCAACCCCCTGGAGCTCAGCCCGTGCTCGTCGGCGGTCCTGTCGGGGGCTCGGCCGTCGGCCGCCTGCTGCGCCAAGTTGAAGGAACAGCAGCCTTGCTTTTGTCAGTACAAGAAGAACCCGAGCTTGAAGGACTACGTCAACTCCGACAACGGTAAGAAGGCACTTAAAGCTTGCGGGGTGCCCATACCCAGCTGCTGAATGCTTCAAGAGTGACCATCTTCTCCGTGGGGAGCGTGATCGCCATCCATGCAGATCCTTCCATGCCTGCGCTGTGCTATGTGTGTACAATAAGCTAGACATTGACCAATGTCTAGAGACTTAATGCTGTTCTTCCTACTACCTTTCTAAGTGGTGACACTTTTAATTCGAAGGATCTTTAAATGCTTATATATGGGCTTAAAAATCTCTCGGATAATATATATATATATATATATATATATATATATATATATATATATATTATCATGACAATTGCATGTTTTGTAATAATGCTTGCACATTAAATAAGATTAATTTCTTGTATGTTTTTAAGAAAAAAAATAATAATGTGTATCTAAATTGATGATTTTCAATTTTGATTGAAGATGCTTTATGTTCAATGAAACCATATTTGATGATTTAATGATGTAATAATACAATGATGCTTTGAAATTATGTATGATGATCATGTATGTAATGATGATTTTATATTTTAAAATTATGCATGATGATTGATCTTTGTCATAATAAAAGTTGCTTTTCGGTTTTAAACATGATAGATGGTTTTCATACAAAAAAACTTAGCATACTTATATGAAATCAATCACATAAAATAAAATACATAAAAAGAAAAATATATTATCATTGAAATTAAAATGATGAATCAAATCTCTTGTTTGAAGAAGCCTTATGTTTAATGTGTTATACTTTTTTTGGTCTTGATGGTTATTATGATGAAATTTATTTTTCGATCCTAAACGTTGATGCATGTTTGGTATAAAAAGACAAAGGCATTCTTGTATGAAACAAACAACTTAAAATGAAACATCTCTATCTTATTGATTTTTCGATAAAAAGATTTATGAATCCATGTATATTATGCTTTTGTGAATCTCTAAAAATGAATTTGAATGAGTTTTATCGAAATCATAATTTATCGAGATTTTTAACATGAAATATTTTATGAATCAAGATCTCTTATTTGATCTCTTATGTTTCTCTTTGTCATTTACTAAAGAGGAAAATAATCCAATTCATGATCTTGATTTCTCGATATTTGATATTTGAAATCTTTCTATGAATTAAGATCATTTTCTCCTTGTTTCTTTTTGCTATTCACTAAAAAAGGAGACTTATCCTAACAAACCATGATATACTACTTGACATCTTGAAAATTTATGACTTAAGTTTTGTTATGCATTTCTTCCCTTCTTTGTTCTTGTTTACAATGACAAAAGGGAGAAAGAAAATCGCTAGGATCTCAAGAGATTGATAAATCAATTAATGTCATTTTGAATCTCTTATGATTTTGATGATTTGAAAGAAAATTTTCTATATGAATCATGTCTTTTAGTATTCACATGATCTTATCTTTCATGATATGATTTTTATAATTTCTTATATTCATGAAGTATATCTCATCACCAAAATTCTCTTGATATTCTTCATGTGATGATATGAAATTATGCATGAAATACTCATGAATTTATGTTGATGCATACAAATGAGATGTTATGATCATGCATGGTAGGATGCAATGTAATTCGATACTTTGATACCATCATAATTTGAAATACTTATGATTTGGAATGATACATGTAATAATATAATTTTTTTTTAAATGATGTGAAAGTCAATAATTATCTGAAATAATATCATATTACAATTAAGAATGATACTTTATCTTTGTCATGATTTAGAAATTGATATAAAGGAAAATGAATTACAAAATCGTGTTCTTCTCTTCTTTTTTACAATGACAAAGGGGGAGAAAAGTTGCTAGTTCACACAAGTCAAGAAAATGCAAAAACATGCAAGCTTGTTCATCTCAAGAGAAGCAAAAATTGCTAACTTGCATATTTCAAGAAGCAAAGATTGCTTTGTTGAACATCTCAAAATTGCTAGCTTGCATGTTCTAAAATGTTATAAATTTCACTAGCTTGCATAATGTAGAACTTGCTATCTTGAACATCACCAAGAATTGCTATCTTGTAATTTCAAGAGAAGCAAAAGTGCTATCTTGCCTATCTTAAGAAGCAAAACTTGCAATTTGCACATTGCAAAAGAAAGCAAGAATTGCTAGCTTGCACAATTCAACAAGAGGCAAAAATGCTATCTTGCATTCTTTTTCGAAAACTTGCTAGCTTAAACATTGCAAAGAAAAGCAAACATGCTAAACTCTGCATATCTCTAAACCTTGCTACCTTGCATGATGATAAAACTTGAGATTATGTTTATAATGTAATGATTTGAAACTTGCTAAATGCACTTATCCTTTTTGTTGATGACAAAGGGGGAGAAGTTATGATAATTATCATACATGGAATGATGTATTGAATAATTTGATTATGTATGATTTTATAATGACATGTTGCAAATATTCTTGATTAAATTTTCTTTGACTTGAATTAAATTTCAATTCAAGAGTTCTATCAATATGACATATTAATAGGGGGAGTTTGTTTAAATTTTGGGAGTTTGTTTAAACTCCGTCATCAATTGGTTGTCATCATCAAAAAGGGAGAGATTATTGAATCTCGGATTTTGATGATGAAACTAATTGATAGTGTTTATGATTTGATCTGTGTTTTGAGTGACATAGGAAGCTTCGATCAGG